CCTCCTCCTCCTCCTCCTCCTCCTCCTCCTCCTCCTCCTCCTCCTCTGGCCAGATGATCCAGGATGCTCCTCGATTGTCCTAGCTGGGAAAAGTGCACACGTCCGAGCGATGCCACGCTCCCGAGCCTCCCCCGAAGCCCATGGACGGCCTCTCCGAGGGCCATGGACGGGCCTCTGAGAAGCCCCACCGCCTCCTGAGGAGGCTTGCCCCTCTCGCACCTTCGGGGATGAACAGAACCCCCTCTAGCAAAACGTGGTTAGTGAAAGCGACCTCGGGCCCAAACCTGGCGAACGCAAGCCTGGAAAATGACGGCCGCGACGCCCTCTCGAGACCTGCAAAAACGGGCAATTCACTGATCGACGTGTCAGGGTGGGGGCTCTGTCCACCCCTGACGACACTTGGCCCCCTCGGAACGCGCCGCCGCTTCTCTTGAAGCAGTGTAGGAGGCGAGCAGATGGTGCCCGAGGGTCGCGCCGCCTCGCCGAGGCATCGCCGATGCACCGGCGATGCCTCGACGAGGCATCGGCCACCTCAGCGTGGAGACGAAGCCAAAGCCTATAGCAGGAGCTCGACCACAAGAAACCGTCGCAAGAAACCCAACCCGGAGACCCCAGGAAGTTAATTGATTTTTGGTGTGGGTACGTCACGCCTTCCATAGCGAAACCATCGAAACCCAAGAAACCCAATGCACCCTGGAGGCAAGCAGGGTGTTTCTTGGCATGGGTCTCCACTGTATATTCGGCGGTGGACAAACCTCCCTTTAGTTAACCACCCTTTAGTGAAAACGGGTCAGGACCGAAAACGACGGATCTGGACCCGCGAAAATGACGGCCGCGACGCCCTCGCGCGAACCGAAAACGGCCAATTCGCTAATCGACGTGTCAGGGTAAGAGGTCGATCAACCTCCGATATATTAAGGACGGGTGGCAAGGACGCAAGACCCTTGAAGGCCGAAATTTAGATTTTTGGGGCGGCGGGCGACCTGTGAAAACGGGCCGCATAGGCAAGGACACAGGCGTACCATAGATGGATGCGCGCGTCCTCACTAGGCGCGTTGACTGTAATCGGGCTCCACATCGAGCCGCATCGCCGATGCGTCGGTGATGGGGCGGGATCCTTCGACCCCGTGCACTTCGACCCTGCCTGGGAGGCCCAGAGAGGAGGCCGCATGGTGACCCCCCAAAGCCCCAACGGAACCGAGCGCAGAAGCCAGAGCCCGGCGCCACCACTCCCGCTGCAGTCGCCGAACTCGATCCCTCGGCACGCCACTGCCTCTCGGGAGGCCGCCCTCCCCCCCCTCGCCCCGCGCCGCTCCCCGAGGCGCTCACCGCCGAGGCCTCCCGCAGCACGGACTCCACTCGCTCGCAGAGGGACTCCACGCCGGCCAGGCGCTCCTCCACCGCCGACCCGTCGATCTGCGCGGCCTCCAGGCGCTGCACCCTGGCGGCCAGCTGCCCCCGATCGGCCTCCTCCGCGGGGGGGGCGGCGGCAAGGCGAGGCGCGGCGCGCCGCGCCGGCCGGACGCGCAGAGGGCCGGGCGCGGGCACCGCGGCCCTCGCGTGGCGCTCCTGTGCGCGAGGCCTGCCTCGAGCGAGCTCCAGGCGAACGGCTTCTTGTTCTTCTTCGGCGTTCCGCCATTGGGCGGCAAGGGGGGGCGTGAGCCTGAGGGAGGGGGGGGGGTCTGGCTCTGGACCTCTGCTCAACGCGACGGTTTGCACCAGCGCGTCCTACCATGGAGGAGAAGCTCCACCTGCCTGAAACAGGCGCCAAAAACAGCCAAGATCTACTCCAGGGGGGGGGGGCGAGGGCCCGCGCCGATCGGCAAAACAATGAACAAGAAAACGATCACCTCCAGTCCCCGGCGAACTTGTACCATTTTTCGTGGATCCCTCTCGCTGATAAGAGATGTCTTGAATATCATCAGACCTTCGGCACCTGGGTCCTCCTCTGCAGGAGAAGGGGAATCCGCCGACCCTGTCGGCGTGTGTGAGGGGCTTGTCCGTTCAAGTCGTCGTCTCCGTAACTCGTTGGTCGCCGTCTCTGTCGTCCCCTCTCCCTGCCTCCCCTGCTTTCCCTGGGCTCGTCGAAGCTCCCCCCTTTCCCAGGGACCTCCTCAGCGCGTCAGCCAGCCAGCCTTCGCAGTCCGAGGAGGAGGAGGAGGAGGAGGAGGAGGAGGAGCAGATCTCCGACGACGTGGTCTGTCAACCCAGGCAGCTGTTCTTCGAGCTCGGCACCCCGGGAGAAGCGGTCGGCCTCTTTCTGCATCGCTGTGGGCCTAACGACTTCTGCCGCCCCTCGACTCGCGCTGGAGCGGCCACGATTTGCCCCGAATCTCCGTGTTGATCTCTGGATTCACCTGGCTTTCCCTGGATCCACCAGGGCTAACCTGGATTTACCTATTTTGTTTCTGCACCTCCCGTGGTCTGCCCGGCTTGATCTTCACAGATCAATTGGCGAAAAATCGTCAAGCCCGGAGGGACCGTAGAAAAAGAATAGCACCAGATCTGAGACGACGTGATCTTCTCAATTCCGGCGGTTTTTCCTCGATTTCGGCCTCTGGGGGCCGTTTCCAGGCCCCACGCATCGGGTGTTGCTACAAGTGTCCCTGGCCCAAGGTGCCCCAGGGGTTCCAAGGAGGCTGCCCTGGCCTGCTGAGCACCCCTCACGGGGCCCAAGGGGGGGCTTGGGGCACCTTGGGCCAGGGGCACTTTCAGCAACCCCCGAACAAACCATCGGAAATGGATCTAGGGTTATGTCGGGCCTGTCCCCCTACAGGGAGATTTTCGACGAAAAATGAAAAATACCCCAAAAATAATCCAAAAATAAACAAAAAATAGTCTGGGGACTATTTTTCGATTATTTTTTGACCTTTTTGGGGCATTTGTGGGGTATGTTTTATTTTTCGTCGAAAATCCCCCTGTAGGGGGGCAGGCCCGACATAAATCTAGGCCGATGAACACCACAAGACGAGCCGCGCGCGCGCGCCTGCGGCGCGACTGCGGCTGCGTCTGCGGCAGCGCTTCGCGAGCCAGCTGAGGGCTTGGAGAGAGCTTCCGGCCCCGTGGACAACGCTTGCCAGGGAGCTGGAAAGCACTCAAGGGGCCCAAGGACACACAAATAAATACACGCAAATAAAACGATCCCCCATATTTTCCCATATTTTCTCGGTTTTTGTTTTCCCGCCCAATTCCCATGTTTTCCCATATTCTCCTGGGGACCGACGATCAATTGTGTCTGTATGTTTTTTGTTCCCCTCCTCAAGCATGCCTGGCGTGCTCGCCAGCGTGTAGGAGCAAGTGTCCAGGGAGCTTCGAGAGAACGTCGAAAAACTTTCTGGGGGGCCCCGACCCCGCCTGCTGCCGCCGTCGGTGGGCGCAGCGCGGGGCGAGGCTGGCCCCCCCCGGGGTGGTCGGACGCCCGCCGATCTAGGCCGGAGGAGCACCACAAAATGAAGCGGTCGTGACCTCTGGAGACGCGGATCCGAAAGGAAGAAAACAAAAAACTAAAAAAACAGAGAGAAAAAAACAACAACAACAACAACAACAACAACAACAACAATCATTTTACCCGAACGCTCAGTGTTCTCACCAGTGCCAGGGTTTTCATGCGACGCGAGACAATACCCCCACTTCGTGGGGGGGCAGTTCAAGCTCTACCAAATATCCAAACGACTCTTCGCGACCACCCAAACCCAGCTTCCCGCCCTATGACGTTGGGACACTTCACTTCGTGGCGTGCGGACGACCGTGGCTACTACACTGGCGTGGGGTACACACCCACAGAACTTGGTCACTTATTCGGGGCGCGCGTGTGCCCAGCATCCTGCAATTGTGACATACAATACATGACACAGACAGACAGAGAGAGAGACAGAGAGCAGACAGAGAGAGAGACAGAGAGAGCGGAGTTGGTCACATTTTTGGGGCAAGTTCCTGAGATCGTCGTGTTTTTTGTTGGTCTTGCGCGCGCGAATGTCCACTTTACTTTTTTTTGCAAGGGAGAGAAATTTGATTATGTTAGAACAAGAAAAAGTAGCTCGCGCGAGCTCATGTAACATAAATGTTGAAAAACCATTGGTTTTGTGGGAGTCGGACAGCGCGCGCGGGATGAAATTTGGACATTTTTTTTTGAAAAACCATTGGGTTTTTGATGTTTTTATGTTGAAATCGTTACGAAACCTAAGGTTCTGGAAGGATTTCGTCTTGCGCGCGCGAATGTCCACTTTACCTTATTTTTTGCAAGGGATTATTGAAATTTGATTATGTTAGAACAAGAAAAAGTAGCTCGCGCGAGCTCATGTAACATAAATGTTGAAAAACCATTGGTTTTGTGGGATTCGGACAGCGCGCGCGGAAGGACATTTTGACAATTTTTTCTTAAAAAACCATTGGGTTTTTGATGTTTTTATGTTAAAATCGTTACGAAACCTAAGGTTTTGGAAGGATTTCGTCTTGCGCGCACGAATGTCCACTTTACCTTATTTTTTGCAAGGGATTCTTGCAATTTGATCAAGTAAGAACAAGAATTTTCATTTTATAGTGTTTTTTGCAAGGGAAAACGGACTACAACAAAACAACCGGATCCGGTACTAATCCACTTTTCTGAAGCTTTCGCGAAAAAATGATGAAAATGTAGCTGCGGCCTAGGTTTTGGAGGGGGGTCGCGCACCAGGGGTCCCAACAATAATTATTCTTAAGAAGAAATAATGTTCAACAACAACAACAACAATTACTAGCACGTGGGGACACTCCGTTCTCACCAGTGCCAGGGTTTTCATACGACGCCCGCCAATACCCCCACTTTGTGGGGGGGCCGGTTCAAGCTCTACCACATTTCCAAACGACTCTTCGCCACCACCCACACCCAGCTTCCCGCCCTATGACGTTCGGACACTTCACTTCGTGGCCTGCGGACGACCGTGGCTACTACACTGGCGCATGGGTACAGTGACTTGTTGTGGTAACATTTTCTGGACGCTAGCTTAGTATACGACTTTTCCCCCTGTTCCAACACTGGACACCTGTACTGGTTTTTGGTGGTAACGTGTTCCTGACGCTAGAATAGGAAACCACGGTAAACCAGTACGACGCCGGTACTGTCTGTAGGTCCTACAGAAATATTAAAAAAGTGTTGGGTTTCCTACAAATCCGCAAGAGCGCGCGGGATGAAATTTTGACACACTTTTTTTGAAAAACCATTGTTTGTTTTGATGTTTTTATGTTAAAATCGCTACGAACACTAAGGTTTTGGAAGGACTTCGTTTTGCGCGCGCGAATGTCCACTTTACCTTATTTTTTGCAAGGGATTCTTGAAGTTTGGTTATGTTAGAACAAGAAATGTCCACTTTGCCTTATTTTTTGCAAGGGAAAACCGCCCGTAACAAAACAACCGGATCCGGACCAACCCGTTTTGCCGGAGACTTCCTCACGAAAATGATGAAAACATGGCTGCGGCCTAGGCGCGGCGAGGGGGCCGTGCACCAGGGGCCCCAACAATAATTATTCTTTAGAAGTAATAATGTTCAACAACAACAACAACAACAACAACAACAACAACAACAACAACAACAACAACAACAACAACAACAACAAAACAACAACAACAACAACAACAACAACAACAACAACAACAACAACAACAACAACAACAACAACAACAACAACAACAACAACAACAACAACCAAACAACAACACAACAACAACAACAACAACAACAACAACAATCATTTACCCCGAACGCTCAGTGTTCTCACCAGTGCCCAGGGTTTTCATGCGACGCGAGACAATACCCCCACTTCGTGGGGGGGCAGTTCAAGCTCTACCAAATATCCAAACGACTCTTCGCGACCACCCAAACCCAGCTTCCCGCCCTATGACGTTGGGACACTTCACTTCGTGGCGTGCGGACGACCGTGGCTACTACACTGGCGTGGGGTACACACCCACAGAACTTGGTCACTTATTCGGGGCGCGCGTGTGCCCAGCATCCTGCAATTGTGACATACAATACATGACACAGACAGACAGAGAGAGAGACAGAGAGCAGACAGAGAGAGAGACAGAGAGAGCGGAGTTGGTCACATTTTTGGGGCAAGTTCCTGAGATCGTCGTGTTTTTTTGTTGGTCTTGCGCGCGCGAATGTCCACTTTACTTTTTTTTGCAAGGGAGTATTGAAATTTGATTATGTTAGAACAAGAAAAAGTAGCTCGCGCGAGCTCATGTAACATAAATGTTGAAAAAACCATTGGTTTTGTGGGAGTCGGACAGCGCGCGCGGGATGAAATTTGGACATTTTTTTTTGAAAAACCATTGGGTTTTTGATGTTTTTATGTTGAAATCGTTACGAAACCTAAGGTTCTGGAAGGATTTCGTCTTGCGCGCGCGAATGTCCACTTTACCTTATTTTTTGCAAGGGATTATTGAAATTTGATTATGTTAGAACAAGAAAAAGTAGCTCGCGCGAGCTCAT